GGCCCCGAACCCCCCCCGGCCCACCTTCTGCTGGGAGCGGGCTGGCAGAGGGTGCGCGCTGCGGCTCCGAGCTGGTCTCTTCCGCCACCGCCGCCTCGTGCCCCCCCACTCTTTATTCTGCTTCTTCTCCCTCCACCCCTCTCCCCTTCCAAACACAACAGCCAGGCCGGACGTGAAATCACTTCCGCTACCTATGTGACCTCACAAGCCACGCCCCCTCAGCTCCGAAACCCGGCCCACACTACACATCCCGGCAACGCACGCGCCGACTTGGGGCGGGGCCTCTAAGGCGCTGCATGCCGGGATTCGCAGTCTTTTTCACGTCAGCGCTACCCGCTTGAAGCTCAGGGGCAGAATGGCGACCAGCTCCGGCGTGCCGCGCTGCATGCTGGGCTATGTAGTCCGGAAGCAGGGCTATGCCGCCATCTTGAAGAACGAAGGCGGCGGGATCAAACGGGCGCGTAGCATGCTGGGACCTGTAGTCAGGTGCTGCTGGTGGGGTGCGAGCCAGGCCTCCATTTTGAGGCTCCTTGGGGGAGGCGAGGATCCTGGGGGACCAGACTACTTGGATTCCGGTGGCAGCTGTTGGGCCCAGTGCAGTGGCATAGCCAAACCTCCAGCACGGGTCAGACAGCTCCAGGCATGAAATATTAATATTAATTCAATCTTATGCCATTAATGCTCCAGGGATACACCAACCAACACAGGCAACTCCATGGTAGAGCTGGCCCCATTAGCATAGGAGTTGCCAACCCTTCAGAATTAGCTTGGATGCTCCCACAATTGCCATCAATTCCTCAGCACCTGTAGCAAGTATGTCCTAGTGATTTTAATAAGATAGTTCTGCAGCCATGTGCAGTAGTGGCTGGGGGGGGAGAGTCTTGTGCTGGGGGGGGAGGGGGGGAGCCCACCCTGCGGGGATCAGGCCAAAACACCATATGAGGTGGTGGTGGTCATGGAAAAGGTAGTACACTGATGTTACAGTAGACAGAAGCCAGGCTAGGAGGGTATTTGGTTATATGTATTAAACAGTCAAAGTACATACACCATTCAACAAACAGCACTTTCTCCATTGCTGTTGAAAGTTAATACGTGATTTAATGTTTTTACATGAGGTAACATGTTCACACTAGAAACAGCATTAGTCTTGGAATAAAAGAGCCATGGCCATTGTTCTAGTCTCTTGAAACAAACTCACTATTGTAATGATTGTTTTGTTGCTGATATTTACAAGGCAGGGATTTATAACCTTGTAGAAAACCTCCTAAAACTGTTTTTTTTTAAATATCTGAGTCCTTCAAAGAATAATCTTGCACACAAGACAGGGCATTACACGGCACTACACTTCAGTCAGGCCTGCTCTGGGATGCTATGCAACAGACAAAAGAAGCCTCTTACCACATTCAAGCAACAAGCGAGGGAGAATACTAAGAGGTAGACTTATGTATGAGATGTGTCTGACATGTTGCTTCTCCTAAACTTCCACAAGCCAGCTTTGCATGCATCACCTGCAGCATGTGTTGATAGATCAAGGTGCCTTTGCTTCTGCTCCTCGCTGTCAAGCCTCAGGCAGCCCTAGCGGAATCCTGGTTCAGGTGGCAGGAGCCCTGCAGCAGAGAAAACCCTGGGAAATCTCTCTGCTTCCATTAGTACAACAAAATTTGGTACACAAGCACCTGGCTTGCTTGACATGCTGGGTGCAGTAGCTCTGGGGTATTACCAAATGTTTGTCTTGCTGCTCACTGTAAATAACTTTCAGCTCATGTGACTGTTAATGTTCTAGAAACACATAGGAAATGTGCCTTGAAATCAGTCACACTGAAGACAAGTAGCACTTGAAAGTTCTTTCGGGGCATATCCAGAGTGTTCTGCTGGCAATAGTAGCAGGACCGCTTCCCAGAGGACAGAGCAGAACCACAGCAGCCTGTGCATGGTAAGGATATAACAGTGTAGTCAATTAACCGATAAGCCAAAGCATATAGGTTAATGCCATAGATTACACATTTTCTCCCCCTCCCACCAAGTAAATTTTTTAGTAGGCTGGCCAAAAGCCTGGCTCAGTCCTGGCTTGCAATGGGTTCAGGACCTACACTTGTGGCAGCTCTATATTTAAAGTGTATTAGGAGGTAGGCAGGCAGCCAGCCGACTCAGTCATGGCTTGCGCCAGATCCGGGAGCTCAAACCTTTTTTAGAGGCAGCAGCACAGGCCATAGGCAACTGGTCTGCAAAGGAAGCTGGTTTTTAAACTGGCTCCCCTTGTGGATCAGCTCCTGCATGGCACCATACACTGAAACCTCTGACAGAGGCAGCAGCACTGAGTGGCAGGGGGCTTCTCGGGAGCGGGGCCAGAGTGCACTGGCTGCTAGCCCTGCCCCCAGGTACTATAGAATAGTCAAGTAAGCAATAAGAATTCATGAGGAATTCTATATCGATATTTAACATCCCTAGTGCAGGGCCTGTGAACATCCCATGGGCTATGGATCACAGCACGACAGGGCCTCTGCATGTCCACACGGGTGTTATGGAGCAAGGCCAACGGATGTTACAAGAGCCTTCCAGGAGCTATCAAGGAGACAGAACAAATTGGAGTGGGAGGGGGATAGAGAGGGTGACTGCAACCCGAGGCAGCATTAGCAAGCAACATGTAGGCTGATGGGGATTCCTCCTCTTCCTTCCCATTCTTTTCCTCTTTGGGAATCCCTATAACATAGTGCACTTCACCTGTGCATGGGGAACCGGCATTAGTTTATAGCACTGATGACAAGGGCCATATCAACAGTCCTGGGGAATAAAGTTTTTGGCATTAATTTCTTAACCTTAACATGGCTGATGTAGCCAAAAAAGTAACAACTATGGATGATGAGCAGTCATCCATTCAAAACTCAGTGAAATTAATTCTACTTTTCCCCCAAGAAAATAGCACACAGCCTCTGGATGGGACCATCTCCCTCAGTACCGGTAGGCTGGTTTGAATAGGTAACCTGGATTGAAAGGGCTCCCTGTCAAGTCCCTTAAGAAGGGACATAACTCCTTAACTGATTTAAAAGGAGGCTAGGTGCAGGGAGTTCTATGGGAGATCTTTGAGATGTTGGAGGGGAAAAACACACCCTGAAGTGCAAACAAAATAGCCAGCCCTGAAATGTCTCAGGATTTTTCCAGTGTCACATGGTGCTTCCAGACCTGTCTGGTTTTGCTCTTGGCATAGGGCAGATAACCCATCATTACTTTCTCTATGGCATATCAGAGAATCACACCATTAAGAGCAAAGAAGATCATTTTAAAACAGACGAGAGTCAGACTGACCCAAAGAACCTGAACACATCACCACATCACAGTAGATAAATCATAGGCAGTAAAACGAATGATCCTGAGATTAGAGCATGTTAAAAAATACCCATTGCAAACACCGGGAATCTTTCCTTTGACTTCAACAAATATTGAATCAAGTGTCAACATACCATCCCACATTAGTACTTTTTAATTTCCCATTTAGATTCAATTTTTTTTAATATAAAGAGGTTTTAAAGACAAATATTTTCCCATTTTCTTTGTGATTAAAGATGTTGGACTAAGACTCGGGAGATGTGATTTCAATTGCCAACTCCACTAAAGGATTTCTCCATGACCTCCAGCAAGTTACCCAATTTCTTTGGATTTCAGTGCCCAATCAGTAAAGTGGGAAGAATAATTATTCATGCATCCCATACTTTGTCTTCCTTGTCTATTAGAGTGCCAAATCTTTGAGGTAGGAACTGTCCCTTACTGTGTACCTGTATAATTCCTAAAGGGGAAAGCGACTCTGATCTCCACTGCGGTGGCTCTATAGGCATTACTGTAATACAAATAATGCTCATAGTCTGAGGACTAGCTGAATTTAAATGAATCCATCACTATTCCTGGCTTCCTGATTGACAAGAGATCTTGAAAAAAAAACCTTAAGGGCCATTCTGCTGGCCAGTGACTGCTCACGCTGCCCCCGTGGTCATGCGTGAGTATAACTGTCTGCTCTCACTCACACGCCTCCCTTTCCATTTGATACGAAACAATTGCATTGCATGCACAATCCACTATCTTGGCACAACAAAACCCTGACTTTGTTCAAGGACTCCAAAAAAGGTAAGAATTAATTCACCAAATATGGAATGCAGCTTCCTCTATCATAACTTAACAGACAAACAGAAGGACAAACAGCCAGACACATGCACATTTCTATAACAATACAATTTTCAAAAATTCTTTACTATATGCTCCAAGAGATTATTGGCTGCATAAGGTAGATAAAGTAGCCAAAAAGGGCACAGGTATCTGAATCATTAGGGCTAAATTTTCAAATATCTTTAGAGAGCATGTCATTAGATTTTCAAAAGTTCCAAGACAGTTAAGATGCTTCTCTGAATCATTAGGTTCCTAAACTCTCTTGAAATCTGACAGTGTACAGTATTTCTAGAATAGCTGATTTCTAAACTAAAAATGTAAAAGTTTATCCAGTTAACCCGTTAACTAAAACTGATTATTATTAGGTTCTGGTTAACCTGCCACAGGCTGGTGGCAGCCCGTGAGGGGCAGACTGGGGGGACTGGTTTGCTGGCAGCCCAGGTCAGCCAGAAGCTGGCAGGGCCCAGAAGCTCATGCAGCCCAAAGCCCGCAAAGGCTGGAAGCCAGTGAAGCTGGGAGGCCAGCAGGGCCTATGCAGCCCAAAGTCTGGAGGACAAGATCCTGTGGAGTTGCTAAGTTTTTTTTTTTTACATCTGTACTCTAGACTATGTCACCATAAAACAGCACTATTGTCTTTAATTTTCTAAAGATTCCTTTATGCTCAGCACCTGAAGACCATTCCATAATTCCCACTAACAACTCAGCTATAATTTACCACTCCATTGAAAAAGCTGTGGTTATTTGGTCACTACAATAGTGCTGTATTTGGGAGGGCTATATGATGCCTAAATTGAGGTTGGTTTTTTTTTTTAAACCAACAGCTCTGGGGGCATTTAAATACATCAGTCAACTACATATGCAGTTAGGAATCAGGTCTCTCCTTCCTCCAAAGGCAATTTTTCTCCCCACCTCCACAAAAATCTCTTGAGAAACAGAGTGACTGCCAATAATGAAGTAAAATGTGGGGGACAAGTTAACTCATGAACTCCTGGGACTCTCTCACATTCAACTGTTGCCTTTTGCAC